ATGAATTGGGAGAGAGTGATGAATTGGGAGAGAGTGATGAATTGGGAGAGAGTGATGAATTGGGAGAGAGTGATGAATTGGGAGAGAGTGATAAATTGGGAGAGAGTGATGAATTGGGAGAGAGTGATGAATTGGGAGAGAGTGGTGAAATTGAGGGACTGGTAAATTGAAAGTAGTCGACTGCAGGCGAATGTGATATTACTGATTACCAGCCTTCCGCAGCAAGCCCCAAATGATAGGGTACCTGTTGGGTTCCGTTCTTGATATTCACATCCCGTCAGTACCCCAAATGTGTAATGGTTTCTATAATTACAAGCTTCTAACAGCTTCTTTGCAGGGCTCAATAAGATTCTTTCACTCGGTGATGATTTAGTCAGGATTCTGTCTTAAGTAAAATGGTTTGAAGAAAAAGGGATTACTCGGTGATTAAAGCAGACGTATATTTTTACAAGGAAAAGGCATAGTTGGTTTAGGTATACCACCCTCGTGTGGGTGTTTAGACTTACTACACATATCAAATTCTTGACATCTTCGAGGCAACGGTTAATATTTTCTTCTCTAGTAACTTTGGTATATGCAACCCTATACGTCTAGTCACAATTGCTAAATGGCTTCGACTGTTTAGCAAAGTTAGGCCCTATTCGACGTAGCAGGAAGGTTAGGAGGGGTTACACTGCGTTTCTCTGTAGACATCTTCGCTAAACGATCGGAAGCGGGAAAAGCAGGAAAATCTATGTTCTTTTATGCCTAGTAAGTAGCTTGAATATCGAAAATGATCTTTGACTCACTACAATGGCACCTAAGCCACCGTGGCTATCATTAGACGTCGGACTGCCAAACTATGATACGTCAATACTTATATATATTTAGACTTGCTACCTACCCGCTTAGAGGATAATTGCACAGATAACTGCACACAGAACAAGCGTTCTTCGAATGACTTTTATTTTGAGTACATGTACATGAACAAGTATGCGGGAAAGTTAAGAAATGTAGGCGACTATAAGAGTTAGAGAGCGGGTAAACAACCCCTATATAGAAACACCAAAGACAAACCAAGCTGTAGAAGCTCCCTCAATATACATGCTTTATAAGGGTTCATAGGCGAGAGAGTTATACCGTTAGTGCCTCATTTTCATAAGATATACCTGAAGACAGCTTTTATAGCCAACTAAGCAACTAAAGGCTAGAATAAGTTGGTCTTGAATTTATATCACAAAATTTTCGTATACCGCAAGCTTGATGCTTCGTTCTATAAGCTCATCTGCTTTTAAGTCATTATAAGGGTCGTGGCATAAAAGTGCCTTGTAAATGCCTCTCCCTTCATAGTTAGATCTTGAGGTATTCTTGAGAGTCAACGATTCCAGATGATATCTGTTCTGGATAAAAACTTCCGTTCTTGTTTTACTAAACATGAAGGTTTAGCTCATCGGAGCTTGCGTTCTCTTTTATCACTAGGTAAAATAGCCGGAATAGCTGTTTCCATATGTTCTGTCCGAACTTGAACAAACAAGAGATTGATTCAATAATTGCATAGACTTTGACAAAATGCTGCCCCTACACTAAATGCTTGGCAAGCAACATTCAAGCTCTTGTTATAGTATGGATGGGTGGGTGGATGGTTTCATTTACCCTGACCCTCGCTTTTAGTTGATTTCCCAACTAGACCAAAATACAAATCCGTACCCAGCCTAGTGGGTTGTGGTTTAAAATCTAACGCTTTTGGCGATATGGTGGCTACCACTATGATGTATATACACGATTGTCTCCACGGTATTGTTCCGAACTTCCTGCAGTGAACTTTGAGTCTCACCGGTGAAGGCCTGTCTTGGTTCAATTTGACCTGTGAAAAGGCTGGGGTATTCCATTACCCCGGACCGTAGTGTCTCTCCACGGAGACTTGATGATGGTTATTGTTGTGCCGGCGTCGGGACTCGAATCTAATGCCCGCAGGATGAAAAATGACCAGTTCGTCATCGTGCAGGTTGTAACAACATGAACGGTACTGTATGCTCTCTCAGAGTATGAATAGGAGACTTAATTTATATTCATATTCCTTTCGGAGCCCTAATGTAGACGCTGCGCTCGATGCCGTACGGATGTGAGTAGTCGCGGTCTCCGTTAGGAGATATCGCCCAAAAGTGTTTTGTTAGCTGTTATTATTGTCTCTCGGATTCTTAAAGGGGCGCTGAGTGCTAATTCGGACGCAGTTCTGTTCTTTGTTAGCTAGCTAAAGATCGAAGTGAACCACATAGAGAAATAAGTCACCACTTTTTCATGTATTCGGCCAATGGAGATATCAATGACTCTGTATTTCATTACCCCTATTTCTCACTATTTATGGGCGCTGGCCAATCAAAGCTCACTGTACTCTATACCGTCAGAATCACGACACATGCATAGAGACCTCTCTCAACATTGGTGTCATAGATGGTTCTTCAATCAATCGATTAATCATCTCGTTTTTGATTCCCTCGGTACAATTACACAATACGAATTTCCTGTGATCCAACCCTTCATAATTGCCGCGCTGGTGGTTTCGCCGATAAAAATATCGAGGGGCTCCGAGGGGTAGGCCCACTTTGCCTACTTGGGGAAAGTGGTATCCGCTGTGACCGCCCACAACCTGTGTGGATTTAAGCGACTCACGTGTTATTGGATCGCCCCGCAGGAGACGAACCTCGATCTTGTCTACTCTTTCCCATGCAACCATGGTCTTAACAGTTGCAGTAGCCGGCGCGACTGGCGCCGTAGGAAGAACAATTGTGGAACAGATCCTGAATGAGAATAAATATTCCGTGATGGCTCTAACACGAAGGGTATGTCCTAATAAAGAAACCCCCCTAATTCCTCAAGAGTGCATACCCATTGAGAATTTGACAAAGGAACACGTCGAGTCACCAGTCAGCAACGTACAATATGTACAAGTAGACTATGATGATCGCTCGGCACTTGTGCAACAACTAGAGCGCCATACAGTACAGACGGTGATCTGTGCTATTGGTATGTTGGGAGATGAATGCTCCCAAGCCCAGCTCAATTTAATCAAAGCTGCCGACCAGGCAAACTCAGTACAAAGGTTCATAACGAGCGAGTTTGGCTATTTTACACGTGAAGAGTATCAACTCCCTTGGCTTCCCCTGGGCTATACCCCGGATGCTCTTTTTGTAACCGCTGCTTACACACCGGCAGGAGAAGGCATATTGACCCAGGACTCGACTGGTTCTTGATGGCTGCAGAACTTCTCAAGAATAGCAAGTTGACCTATACCCGCCCTGTTTGTGGCGCATTCATGGATTTCCTAGGAATGCCGTACGCCCGATCAAATATCCCCCCAATGAACATTGTCATTGATGTTCACAATCGAGAAGCCTGCATTCCGGGGGATGGAAATACCCCTATAACCATGATTTACAGCTATGATGCTGCAACCTTAGTTGCCAAGCTGTTAGATGTCGACGAATGGTCTGAATTCAGCTTTTGCAACGGGGATGATACCACTTTGAGTGAGGTCTTGAGAATAGCAGAGGAAACCCGCGGTAGGTACCTCTTTCTCGCACGATATGCAGTTTATTCTAACTATGATATGAAGGCGAAAAGTTTAAAGTCACCTATTTGAAGGCCGAGGACATCGACAAAGGCAACATTCCTATATTGAAGATTTCAGAAGGGAGTGGCATTCAGCCAAATGAACAGCTAGACTACAGTATATTCGGGTATCAACTCTACCTTGCAAGAGGCTTTCAGTTACCAGTCGAAGGGCGAATTGGGAATAGATTCCCAGGCTTCAAACCCAGGACTGTCCGGGAATTCTTGGAATCGACTTGGAGAGGTCATGTATAGTCTGACGGAAACTCCCCCGAATCAACGATTCCTATCATTGTGTTATACGAACATTGATGTTGTTTCAGATGCTCTGCTACAAGATTACGTGCGTAGAGCAGTTGGAAAACGTAGCACCTCCAGAAACAGGAGCATGGTGAAAATTGAGGGCCATCAAAAGTAGTCGCAATGTAAATAGTATTATGGGATAAAGTGCTTCTTTAGGTATGGTCTGAGCGTAGACTGAGTGCTCAATAGATGACTCTGAGCAGTCTTAAAGTAACTATACCAGTGAGCGGTCAGTAAGCATCCAATCAGACTTAGTGAGCGATCATTGGGCTTCACTAATTCATCACGTGATTGGTCTGAGCTGTCGCAATTACCTTACGAATACTGCATGAAACCGCTATAGATGATCCGTGGGCATAGCTTGTGTAGCTAGAATGGACCCATAAATGGCGAGAAATAGGGGTAATGGAAATGCAGAGTCATTTACATCTCCAATTGGCCGGATACAGTACAAATCGTGACATGAGCACTGAGCCCGGACTAAAAAACTATATAGTGAGCCTGATTCTGAGCGCCCTCATAAAAACGGCGGCAGCTAAGATAGGAAAGCCCCGCCTAGCAGAGGAAATCAAGTACGTATAGCTACACATGTATGTGACAGTATGTCTTAGGATTCGCAATTGAGAAATGGGTCTATTAAGTTTTTATTAGTAGATAGAATACTATTCATCTCTAGGGCATTAATCGTTACACGGCTAAAGCCATTCACCATTCTTAATTCATCACTCTCTCACCTATAGAACGCGTATCCCGACCATGGCCATGGTGTATCTAGTGTGAGACAGGTGGGTTATTCCCCATTACACTCGTAATGGACTTGTATGCCCTGCATCTGAAGCGGGGATTTTAAACATGAAAGCATTTGACCGATCGGAAAAGATAACCACAAGCCCCCTATTCCCTGAGGGTTTGAGCATCGCACTGCAATGCCTATCCTATGGTTTCCTTCAGTATGGGGCAAAAAGTGGGTCAGGGGTGTGATGCCCATTTCGTTTCAAGGTAGGGTGCTTATAAATAGTGGATTGATAACTAACTTAACTAATTCAACGCGTTCGGATGACCTAATTCACCACCGAGCTGCGCACCCCAGAACACCGTAGTAAATGGGATATTTATAACTCGATATTTCAACAAGCATAAGTTTATTTGGTTTAAATACTCGTATGCAGCTATTTATACACATAGTAAATAATAAGATTAATGTAAATATAACCTAGAAAGATAGTTGGTTGCATTAGCAGCCAGTAGCTCTCAGAGAGTACAATCCGTGTTATCTTCTAATCTATCTTGAGTTAATCGTAGCTATCAAAGACAGTATGCAGGAACCTAAAACTACGGGCAAGTACCTCGAAGGCATTCAAAGAGCCATGCGGAAATATGATGCAGAGCTCAGAGAAATCAATCAGTTTGTAAGCATTCCGATTCTAACGTGCCACAAACAATGTTCTGACCACCGTAGATCTGGACAAATTACGAGCTTGCTTTTGAGAAGTGCAAAGCGCACAACAGAATCTGTGCTACGTCTGAAAGCCTTGAGGCTGAAGGATATCAGGTTCGGCGGAGTCCCTATAAGTTAGAAACTTCTTTCTTGATTGGGTATACTCATGGCTCTGGAGGCAGAGTAGTGGCGTTCAATGCCGAATATGATGGGTTCCGGGGAATTGGACATGGATGTGGCCATAATCCGATAGCAACGAGCGCCATCGCAGCAATCTTGTCTACTTGCGAAACTTTGTAGCACCGATGCACCAAAGGGCACGGTTTCACCGTCCGTCTTCTAGGCACCCCTTCCGAAGAGGGAGGAGGTGGAAAGATCCACATGATAAAGAAAGGCGCATAGAAGGATGTATTTGCTTGCCTCATGCTGCATCCTATGTCTCCTCCGCCTGGGGATGACACGTTCCTCAGTATAGAATGAAACTAGGGAGAATTTGAAGCATAAGCTTTAAGGAGTCAAGCGTTCAAATATGTTGTCATATTGAGGTAAAGAATTATTACCCCTCGATTGATCATCCTGACCTAAAGTGTATGGATCGTACTAGAAGCTTTAATGCAAAATTAATAACGCTGGTTCCGGGCATTGAAAATCTTAGTGCGCTACTTTATGATAGCCGGGGAAATCAAGATCGACGCGACGAACCGGGCAGATACTACCTACACAGGTGAACATGTTGGGGGTGCGCGCGCGCGCGCTGACAGACGTAGAATATATGGATATTTATTTATGAAAGTCGAGTATAGCTTAGCATCTAGAATTGCAGTTTTTCAATTGCAACTAGGGAGCATTCGAAGCCCAGATGATAGGGTGTCAACCGTCTAATAAATTGTGATGTTGGGGTATCAAAGAGTAGCGTAATGGAAATTAGGAATTGAACGCTAAATCGGCCGCAAGTCTGGCGGCGGTTCCTTCCCAATGGCCGCCCCCAGGAAGGCGGGGCGAGACCCACAAATTCGCCCAGAGTATTCGCCGATCTCCAGTGCTATTACATTTTTGATGGTTCAAATGTGTCATAAAACTGCTTTTTCTTCTGCGAATGGTCATAACAACCTCGGGCGTTCCAATTGATTCGGGTCTGTCCGGGTCCATCAATTAGGAAAGGAATCGTATATAATGTCTTTCACTTAAAGAACGAAGAAAAGTTAGGAAATTAGGATTTGTGATAGATTCGCCGAGGCCTCATTGCCAATATACTGATGTTATCCGAGGAAATGTCAACCGTGAAGGAAAATGAGTCAATGGTCCCGAAACCAGCACAATCCACCATGAAGCCCGGAGCTTATCTCGCAAACCCCGTAAGAGCCTTGAATTACGTTGGGTTTGGAGCCAGGGTACGTACTAACATGCTATCTTCGTCGGAATAGGCGCCTTTGGCGATGGGTGGTTTTGCTACCACTTTTTTATCCCTGTCTTTGGCCATGATGAACTTCCGTGGGGTATTCACGCAAACAATCTTCATGGGTGATCTTTGCTTCGTTGCTGGAATTGGTCTACTTATTTCCGCACAGTGGGAGATGGTCCGAGGGAATACATTCTCTTACACGGTTCTTTCTGCATATGGTTTGTCTCAAGAAACATTACTTTTGGTATGGCTTGGCTAATCGGCATCTCATCGTTAAGCATTATTTTATGGCGGGTACGGAGTAATTTTGATTCCCTCATTAGGCATCGCTGATGCGTATGGCGGTTACACCGCGGAATATCACAATGCGCTCGGATTCTTTGTTTTAAGTAAGTAGCATGTTTTTGTTGTGTCTTATATTCTTTCTCTGATATTTCCCTCTAGTCTGGGCAGTTTTCAATCTCTTTTTCCTGCTGGCCAGCTGCGCTCTGTGAGTTCGTTCAATCTACATACTCCTAATACGAAAGCTGATATTCCCGAACAGGAACATTGTTTACATTATTTTGTTCCTCGGACTTGAGCTGTGTCTCATTCTCGATGCTGCATCCAGCTTTGCGTTGGGCGACGGGTTGGTTGAAACCAGTGCGAATCTTATCACCGCTGCTGGTGCATTCGGGTTCATTGCCAGCTTAGCTGGATACTATTGCGTCCTACAATCCCTCTGTGAAGACTCTCTGCCATTTTCTGTTCCGATGGGTGACACTTCCAGAGCTTGGAAGCGTTGGTGTAGAAAGACACCCCCCAAAAGCGTGAAGAGCGAAGGAGACATGGCGTGAAAGCAAATCTTCGTACTTGAAAAGCTCATACGGATTATTCTTTAATCAACCTATAAGTTTTCGTTTTCAATTCATCAAACTTTCCCGTGTCAGTGATAGCAACATATTATCCCAACTACTTCTCCTGGTTGCAGATATCGAATGCAAAGCAGAGGTTCATCACCTTACCTACCAAATCATTTTTAGGTGCGGAAATCAACGTTCAATTTACGCTGAGACGCGATCTTATGCATTCGAATGGTAAAAGTGCACTATCCACGGGGGATGGCCTACTCAGGGCTGACTCTAGGTTAGGGACTCATGACGGCTTGCAACGTGGCGACAGTACACCAAGCTCAAGCCATGGGATGAACCATCTCGGACTAGCTCGAGTTACGGGGATGTTCGTGGGTCATAGGCCAATTATCTATATATCAACAACTTAAACCCAAAGACCAAAATGGGGCTTTTCAGGTCGGAACATACATTGGCAACGGAGTAAGCAGTGTTTGCATAGTTTAGTTCCTAACAAACAAGCGGCCGCCAGTTCCTTTGTTTTTCGGACTTCCAATCGCGGCGCGCTAGTTCCTTCGACCTTACGCTTCTGTACAGAAAGAAGTCTCCTTTTATTCCGCTGACAAACAGAGGCCGTTTAAAGATTGGACCTATCAGGTGCTGGATGGTCCATATCGCATATATACGGCGAATTTTTAATTGTAAACGCACTTCATCCAAATATTTAGCAAATGTGCCTAGAACCCGAAAATCGTCAGTGTAAGGTCCATCTATAAAATCATAAGCAGACGCAATGCATTAATTGCTAAGTAAAGATCCGAGGGCCTTAAAGCTAATAGTAAAAAGGGAGGAAAGGCGTTAGATTTCGACTATACTTTTAGAAATTATTTCTCTTCAGGTGCTAGCGAGGTAGCAGCTACGGCGAGAACAACTAAAGTACAACCGGATGTTATTTCTTTTAAACTAAAGAAGAGAAATATTACTAACCGTTGCGCTTAGTTATCCCTTACATCTGGGGACGGTAGAGTTATTGCTAATGCAGCCAGAGATTCAGCGTCGCGTTCTGACAATTCAACATCCTGCGATACTCCGCTGCCTACCAACTCGTATATATCAGGCCTACCTCTTATCGCACTTACTCCGGACTCAGAATGCAACTGGTAAATCTGGGTATCGTTTCCTGAGAGTTCCCCATGCGTTATTGGAGGCATGGTAAACACGCTTCCGTCCGTATTCTTGGAACTAAGTTCTGAGAAACTATGAGACTCGGGCGACTTAATAATGCTTGGTTCAGGTTCGTTTCCAGCATCCTGATGCCGCCAGGGAAAGAAGAAGAACGCAGTTAAGGCGATCAGCGCGACAGCAGACACTGCACCGATTACAATGCCGATGATGGCACCGGTGCTGAGAGAAGAGCCGCCTGAAGAGTCATGGGAAGAGAGCGACGTTGGGTTTTTGTTTGAATTCGCGTCCTTGGGAGAAATAGTGGCGATGTCCTCTTCCACGCCTTCATCCCAAGTGCACTGCGAGACGTTGAAAACACGCCGCTCATAATCGGCTGAGAGATATCTAACGCACCAGTCAGTATACTTTCAACTTCTTCCCAAAGGCACGTAAGGGGCGTACGCTTCTTGGAGGAACGTCCTGCCCAGTGTGTATTGTGACTCGTTCGCGGCACGCTTGAGAGGGAAGTAGTAGCTCGAATTCTCAACCAATGGATACTCTGCCCGGAGGTCAAACGCCTCATAGGGAAGAGTAATCATAGCCGTGTCACCACCTTCTAAAACGTCAGATAGTCGGAAGGATATATTTGCGTTTGACTCGAGAAGTGCAGATTGATGGGAGTCGTTGACGAGATATAGACCAGTGGTGTTGCCCAGCGAGAGACCAAAGGCAGACTCAAAAGCGTCCACAGCGTCGTCTGGGAGCCAAATGTTGGGATCTGTGGAGTCCATGAATATGTTAATCGGTGAGGATAAGAGAGACCTTTCGTTCTCTCCGCTGTAGGTTATGGCTTGAAGGGCCACAACCAGGTCGCGTGTGATGTCGTCCGCCATTGTGAACGTGACTGAGTTTTCGATGAAGCGAGACGTGTCGTAGCCGGAGAAAATCAGTTGGCCATAGACCTTCTTGAGGCCTTAGGGTATCCATTAGTTATCTAGTTCGAGAATGAATCTTTTAGCGGTCGGATTAGGTACTTACGGTACATAGCTCCAGAAACTCTAACTCAAGCTGGGGATAACGTTATTCTCCTTCAACGATGTGACGTATGATGGGGAAGAGAAGTTTCCCAATGAGCTAAAGTTCAACGGCTGCGTGTTGATACCGAAGATTCCTCTAGGAGTGAGTTAGCAGGCCGCGGAAGTAGTACCAATCGAAATGCCTCCTTACAAATAGAAGGGATACGCCGTAGCAATACCGCCGATTGTCTGATTATCGAGTGTATGTCCTTCGGCTCCGTCGACAAGACCGATCCCAAGGGTATCCAGGCCAAACAGAGCTGGCTGCTGATATCCAAGGTTCGCTTCGAGCCCGACTCCGCCACCGTTGATTGCGAAGGTCCCTAATTGATTCCACATCGATGACTCGTTCGGGCTGAACATACTACCTCCCGAAACAGCGCAATCCGATGGGACTTTTCCCATCACTGCCTCCGAGCAGCCATATTCCGATAGGACAACCAGAGTCTCAGGGGCGGCTGTAGAGACAAAGACTCGTGCGTCCTGTCGTGGGCTGCCAATTCGAACGTTGAAGCTACTCCATGGTCCGTCATTAACCTCGCTAGGAGCTACGTTAGTAACAGACATCTAATTAACTACTTACGGGTGACACTTACAAATACTGGCTGGGCGGAATCACAAGAGCTGAAGGAGACGCGCGACACGCCGTCATCAAAGACAGCACAAATCCTGCCACAGGTATGAAAGAATGCAGACCGAAACCCATATTCGAGCTGTAGTGAGGACACTCCTCTGAATGACAGCTCAGAAAAGGTGTTCCTGGAGGGCGGTGGGCTTGATCAGCGAGCCAAACCGTGGGCGGACTGTCGAAGTCGTGTTCGACGATTTGTAAGTTAATAATGGTAGCAAAGCTACGATTCATTTATTCTATTTAGCGTAAGTCTTAGCAACTAACACACTAACCCAACTAACTAACACCATTCCACACACCGCGTGGAGTCTCCGTTGTAACTCAGGTCAATCCTCATCGAACTCTTAACGATCCCGGCGCCTAGCTGTGCGGATGAATACGATTCAAATACCGGGAAAGGGGGCAAATGCCGACTGCAGTCAGACTTACGAGAATAGGTAAAACCGGCGTCGCACAGCCTCAGACCAGCCGAGGGGGCTTTACGCTATATGCTATCAAAAAATATGTGCCGTAGCGGCGGCCAATGTATCAAAGTCCTATTAACCTATTGGAGCGTAACTAGTATCGTAATGGCTATGCAGGCGCTTCTTTCCGGTTGAGGCAAGAACTCGTGTCCCGTACGCCTGATCATGCTCCAGTACAAGAAAGAGACTGGTTCTCAAAAAGTGGAAGCACCAGACCATTACATGTAAGCCAAACCCTTAAACCCGGGAGTACAAATGAGAAATTCAATGCCAGCAATGCATTGAATACAAAAATGAGCGCGTGGCCGTAGCGCGGGTCGGGTTTAGGGCGATCTATATTTGAGAGTGAGAGGTCAATAAGAGACTTGTTCGTGCCTTTGTCTCCTTCCTTTTTGCAAAATGATCAGGATTCCGAGAATGGAAAATGTCTACATAGACCACCCTACAGCATAATCATTGGTCCAGATCATCGGCTTATGTCCGAAGCCTTTTTGAAATTTCAATCTGGAGCGTATCCACCTCCACGGATACCCCGGGGCTGCATTGCAGGCACATCTAGGTACTGTAAAATACCAATATTATGCGCGGCAGACTTTATATCGAATAGTTTATCAATAATCGAATCACTTTAGAACTGATATGTCTTTTGTTCTTCTCGAGTATACGGAGTTCCTGTGCGTTATTTTTAAGACAGCGGCCAACATGTTGCAACCCCGGCCCGAGCCCAGACACGCCTTGACAACTGCACTAAAACATTTTTGGCGTGCCATTACTCCTTTTTATTGAGGTATGGTCACGGCACCACTGCACTAGGTTTTACTTGGTGCAGCTGCACTTGGCAAGGCTTATCCGAAGCGAAGCTAGGCAAGATGGCACGGTGCCTTGCTCCGTTCCGGAGTCTTCCAGGTCATCAATGGCTTGCCTCTGGGCTCTGCGCTCTGGCAATTAAATAAAACCCTCGGCGGCCAAGTCACAATTTCCTACGTGTAAGCCTTTGATTTTCGTTCCAGTCACTCCTTAGCTTGTTTGTGCCTCGCATCCCGTTCGCGATAATGTTATGTCTCAGTTTGCTCGCCTTCTGGGCGACGAACTCGTATGGTGTAGGTAGGGGAAGGCCAATGACGGTCTCGCCCGGTGCCAATGCACTAACAACTCCCCAGCTATTGTTATTCCCGCTTTCAACAGCTCGACCACCGCTACGAGGACTGTCAGTGTGCCATCAACCATTACTACAGGACCGGCCACAACCAACCCAGTCGCCATCAACACATGCTCGTACTACAATAAAACCGAGTCGCGGACACTATGGGACAATCCATGGTGCAGCATGTGAGATTGAGTCGCCGTCATGTTTACACCTGCAGTTCTAACTTGCCTTAGGTATGCTGGAACGGTTGACTTGGTCTACTGGCCTACCAACGACAACTACTCATACCCATCAACTTTCTACGACGACAAAATTGATTACACATAGTACGTGATTGAATCTAAGTTTACGCACAAGCTCTTGTTAATGAGGGACAGTTCGTCGCCGTCGGTGTACATGGTTGTCAACACGTTATATGGCTGGAATCCTTGCGGCTTGTTGGGGCCTTCGACCAGCAGAGAGGTCTTCGCCTTTGACCTGACTGAGGTGTCCACGCTTGTTCCATACACTCAATCGACGGCGACCACCCGACGAGGTACTAGACAGCTCTACCTTAGCGATTTGGGCACACACTGCACGGGCTCGTACAATCAGACGGAACTTGCGACGCAACTACACCCAATGAAAGACGACGATACCCGGTGCAACCCCTTCCTGGTCGTTCCTGCAGCTGTCAAGAGATATGGACACCCGTACTGGCTTCACTGCAACGTCGCGAACAACAAGTTTGGTCTGTTTGACCCTCCATATGCGATCCCTCCAGTCATTGACTTAGTGCCCACGGAGCCCACGACGACAACCGCTGTTGTCGAGGCCTCAAACTCTGAGACCCCACAGCCGCCCACTCTGCGTCCACCAAGGCGACGGCTCCTAGTGGACCGGAGAACACTGAGCCTGCTGCTACCACCACCGACCTAGACAATACCGGTTCCAGTGATGCCACCCCACAGAAGACCGACTCTGCTACTGCCGATCCAGAGAGCACCATTGCCAATGATGCCAGCACCTCGGCCGGTGGAGATACTGTTGTTGCCAAGCCAGGAAATACCGAAACTGCTGCAGCCAACCCCAGCGATTTCACAGATGCGCCAGTAGATGATGGGAACCCTCAGCCAGCTGCTGCTACCAACATAGCGCACGAAACCGTGACGGGAGTGGAGGCCCAGTTTGACACGGCCGCCTACTCCGATGGCGTTGTGTCGACAGCCTCGGAGCAGGTGGTCAGTCTCGGAGCAGACGGTCTTAAGGTCGTGGACCCCGACACCGGAAAATCCTCTACCTACGGTAGCACGGTGCCTACTACTAAAGTCGTCTACGGCGGTCAAACGTTGACTCTGGGAGGCCCGGCTGTAACGGTTACCAATGTCGTCGTCGTATCTCCTGGTCCCGCGAACCTAGCCAGCGCTACTGACGCTGCAGGCTCGGGCCCCAACACGCCCATTGCAACCCCTTCTACGGTGCCGGACTCGTCAGCGAACAGGATTTATGGAGGCGTTGTTGGGCTGCTTCTGGCCCTCATGACTTCTATCTGGGTGTAGATAATGCAGCAATCTGCGATGTATGGGATGCAGCTCTTGAATTCCACCACCTATTTTTGGTTCACACTCACCCCACCTCTCTGCAAAGGCATTATCTCATAGTGGTAACAAAATTTAGGATATACTGACGCCAGTCAGAAACTTCTTGTTATACCCTTCCATCTCTTCTCGCGATAATTGATCCGGCGGCTAAAGTGGAATTATTAAGTTGAATTTTTTTCCTTAGCATAAAATTACTACTAGGTTTCAGGACTGTAAGCCTCAGTTCAAGTGCTATGGCTTTCCTGCAATGTTCCCGTCTAGTGTCAGGGACCAAAGGGTGCGATTAGACATCGCCAAAGCCTGCCCAAAACCCAACCCGCCCACGGAACTGGTTCTAGATGAGCGGGACAAGCGAGATGAGGGTAGAGACGGTATAGCGGAATAAGCCGTAAACCCATACAATATGACCCCTCATAAGTTGACAGTATTTACTCCATTTTTGGGCGGTAAGCTCCTTCCTGCGGCATTGGGGCATTCTTTCCTCATTAAGGGCCCCATTGCAGTAGTAAGGGTTTGCATCTGGTGATTTTCGGCCTATTGTTAGGCAACGTTGCGAGGCACGCCGCTCCACAGCACTTGTCTATTGGTGACCCAGTCGTCGGACAAAAACTGTAAATTATCGGAACTACTTTGTCAGGTGTTAAATACTGGCTAATGATTTTAACGAGGGTGTCTTGTGTCGAGTTCGGGCCGTGAAGTCGCTAGATAAGACTTTCCTAAGCGTCCATCAAATTGGGTTCGCAGGTTTTATTCAAAGTGTTAATTAAAAATGTGAGAATTCTATTTATCTGGCTGCTGTGACAATATATATAGTTAATATAAATGCGACTAAGCCCGTGACATCATACAGAGCAACTTAAATAGTTATGCTTAAGTGGCAAAGATAAGAACTCGGCATTATCTCTAATCAGAATCGTATAGGCGCGACCGAAGTTAAATACATTAGCCCTCATTGATAATCTCTAAGCCTCCGCTTATAACGTATTCTATCATCGTCTACTTTAAGCTAGATCATGTCGCCGAAAACATTAAGATCAGCCAATTTTTTCAAAAGGGGTTTTACGGGACATTGAACGCGATAAGGTGGACAACGTTGTCGGAAAAGGAATTTAAATATTAAGGGGGGATGAACTCCTACGGCGGGAATTCTACCTCTTAAGGGCGATTGGCTTTTCATGACCCTGCTATAAGGACTTCTGTCGAGATCATATGACCTAGTTGGTCATGTGACCCTGCATAGTCCTAAGAGTAGTTAGATAGTTTGTAGGGTCGGAGCTTGTCTCCTTCCCCGTCCGTCTCTCAACCAATAAACTATCGTTATTGTTTGTTTCTCTCCCCCTATCAAGAGGTTATGACCCCTCTGCTCAACTTTTGAGGCTATTCACATCGCACCAAGCTTTGTGGACCTAATCTAGGGCCGCTAAGTAAGCCGTGCGTGTCGACGGTGGGTCTAATCAACCTACTAGAAGTACATGCCCTTAGTCTCGTGTCACACAAATCCCATATCCTTCCTTTCAAACATGTCAAAGAAGCTTGTTCGAATCCAATAGCCTAATTGTGGCTCAATACTACACCAGACGCGGGATTCAGTGTCCCGGTTATGATCCTAGTCACCCTCTTCGAGAACCCCACCTGATTCCTTTGCTTTAATCTAGGCACAATTCGAATGCGGCTGCAGATAGAAAAATCGAAAACTCACATCCCTGTTGAGCAAGTGTGCGATGGAGTTCATCCGCTCGAATAAGTACTTTCTCAAGCCGGGCTAGCATAGTATCGTTCTCCTGCCCTGCCTCGCGCCTCGATAAGCTAATAGTGGGATTGGTCTAAAGTACGAGCATGATGTTTTTGCAATAACGGAAATGAGTTTATAATAGAGTGATAATCGCGTTATATGCACCCCACGACACGTCGAGTTCTGAAGATGTTTCGCGGCTGCTAGCAGTTGGATAAAGGTGCGGAAGACTGCAGTATATTATAGCAGGACTTACACGAAATTGCTTTTCAGCGGATACAATATCCACACCGTTGATATACCTAAATAGTATAATATCAGATCAGATCAAATGCCTAGGTCGAGCTTCCATTGGACTTGAAAAACTCGCTTCAGTCGTAATCTATCTAAAGACCAGGAGAACCGGTCATTTCCGGATAGAGTAGGGTGTAAAGCACACGCAATCTGACTCGCAATAAGTGCCGGAGCATCATTTCCACTGTCTGTGGATTTGTCTACTAGAGCAGTCCAGGACGAGTTGTTGTCGGAGTTCTGCCCTAAGCGTTGCACATTCAGCCGGATGACCCCGGAACCGTACGGATACAAGCATTTTCATGTCTCTCAGATGTCGGAAATCAGGCATGATGTAGGAAAGAAGAAAAGTTGAGCAAGATCAGGCAGCGGAAACCGTCGCCTCCTGCTAGTCGGCCGCGTCGCCTCGCCAAACTTTAAACCCCTAAGCGCTATGTATAAAGGCAGGGTAAGGGATGCCCTAGTTAATCAAAGCTGCAATTACTAACCTTGCCGCCAATAGGCACATTCTAAGAACCCCTTATTCCTAATAGAAACATTATAGAGGATATAGAAGCTTAGGAAATTAACGGACAGCCTCCAAAATTTCTTAATATTGATCAAACCCCAAGTTCTCTACAAGTAGATGTAGTTAGATTATTCTAGCACACATCAACGTATATCGAGTTCAATTTCAATTAATTCATGGATGATAAAATATATTTACTGGTCTATATTCTATGTAGTCGCCATTCATTGATCATATGCATTAATGATAGCTGGTCCCGTTTCAAGGAATACTATCAAGACTTCATACCAAGCATGAGCCACTACATCGTACATGATATCAGCCATCCAATTTTGCAAAAGATCTCCATGAGGAACTTGTTGTTCAATTCTGATCAACCAATTCTCGTATTCAATGCTTCCAACAAGGATAATAATTGCAGCAGTCCCCACTGCAAATGCGCCCACCAATTTCGTAAGATACGAGACCTTTCACAAGTCAAAGATTGTATATTGCTTCTCAATAACCTCCAGTGGCTCAATTCCCGAAGGGACAGCGCACTTAACAAGTCGCTCACGAGCCAAATCGAGGACACTAGCTTGGCTAAGGCCTGCAAGAATTGTATGGTCCGACAGGGGTGGGTAACAAGCTGTGGTGTGCCTTGCTGATTCATCCAGAGAACGAAAAGGTTCATGGAGCCAGCTTCGGTCATGGAGAGATGGTGTTAATCACCGTGATTGAACTTCGGAACATTTTACCGAGAGCGGCTTAGTGAATCATCCCCGGAACCCCATGGTAGCATCCATGGATGACTTGAGACATCCCATGTGCGCCAAGTCGCCATATTGGTAGAATTACGTCATTTCCGCAGTCTTGGCAGGATATTTTACATGTAACCGTGAAACCATAAAAACTCTCTCGAAGAGTGAGATCAACCCCGCGAAAATCCTTCCGGGAATTGATCTACCTGCGTGACTATTTTGGATATTTACCGGCGGGTTTGGAGTCACCCAAATTACCCCGGGCGATACGGGAATTAACCGAAGTGAATTTTCATCAATTGCCTTCAGGACCATACAACAGCGGATTTTGAGAAGATAGTATAAAAGGAACCAACTCGCATAAGAAGCCTGCTACTTCCCTTTCATCAGAGAAACATCTCAAACAATCAATCCGTTCAATAGAACAACCCAAAATGAAAGGGTTCACCTACCTCTCTACCGCCTTACTGGCCTCTCTGCCTGCCCTTGCTATCCCAACGGAATCAACCCTACAGAAAAAAGCAGCACCAAGCAATGTCGGCTACCTGGCCGTCACCTGGAAGACTGCGGACAATAGCGTGTATTTTGCCCTCAGCGACAACGATGACGCTCTAGATTTCAAGCCTATCAATGGCGACAAACCGATTGTGAAGCCTACGCTTGGGACAAAGGCCGTTCGGGACACATCTATCATTGTCGGACAAGGTGACAATGCTGGAAAGTACTATATTCTAGGTACTGATTTGAACATTGCCACGGTACGTCCTAGTCCAGCTTTCGTATAAGCAACATTCGTGGAAACGGTTACTAATGGAACATAGACTTCTTGGGCGGCTAGCACTCGCACCGGATCCCGCGGAATATTCGTCTGGGAGAGCACAGATTTGGTCACTTGGACAAATGAGCGGCTAGTGACAGTTGAGGATAAAACGGCTGGCATGGCCTGGGCTCCCGATGCGTTCTGGGATGCCTCAAAGAGAAAATACTTTGTTCACTGGGCTGCGCAATTGGTAAGTCAAATCTTTCTTCTAGCATTACGCCACTAAAAAGCCCAGTACGCTGAAGATGACACCGGTCACACCGGTGCTCCTACCCTAAACACTAGTATGCGGTATGCCTACACCAGCGACTTCAAGACTTTTACCGCACCGAAGACATATGTGTCACTCGGCGACGCCCCTGTAATTGATATGTCGCTCCTCCAGGATGGTAACGCGCTCAAGCGATTCTACGTTACGGGAGGCGGCCCAGTGGAACAGACCAGCACCAACGGACTTTTCGGGGATTGGACTACGGTTGACGGAGCAATTGCGGATAGCGATGGCTTTGAAGCGCCGTATGCATTCTGGGATAACGTGGACATTCACCGGGCGTATCTTCTCTGTGACAAGGTGGGCAGTGGCGCTGGAATTCACGCGTGGACGTCGAGCAATGGGCATGCTGATTCATTTGCCGTGGACAACACCCACAACTTAGCTTTCATGCGGCATCTGTCAGTGCTGTCAGTGAACCAGAAGCAGTTTGACGCATTGTCAGCGTTTTAAAGGTGAAGTGTGAAAGAAGTGGTGTCAAGGATCTCGTTTATTGAGGATACTCTCGGCTAGCTGCTACATGTAGCCTAATATAGCAAATCTTTCTGGGCCATAGAGCTGATTGGAGCTTCTGTGCAGTTCAGCCCTTTTTGGTG